AGGACATCCTTTGATGTCGTGGAAGCGGTCGGATTGCCCAGCTCCGATGTCGAATTGCGCAGGGAGGAGTGGTGCAGTACCTGTGGTGTCGACATACCCTGGAAGGCACACCAAATGCCATTCCAAATGGGTACTCACGCCATCCTCCACGAGTGGCGCACGGCATACTTGTATGCGGTGAGGGCAGAGGCAGTACTTGTGACGGCCGTCCCGCGCTAAGCCGGCCTAGTTTTGTTGGAATTGTTTTGGCTGTGCGTTCTGACGGTCTCATAGGTTGTTAGGATATTCCCACAGAGCAAGACCGAATTACCATCGTCGGACCAGAAAATATTGGAGATATCTCTTCTTCCCCCTCCTCCTCCTCCTCCCCCGCATCCTCGATCTGCCCATCCCGCCGCTTCTTTTGCGAGCTCTGTAAGTTCTGCCCGTTTACGCTCCGCCCCGTTCGAGGCGAGAGACCTTCGCAACGGCGCAGTGGCCCTGTCCACGACAGAGTTGCGGTCTCCAGAGACGGCGGGCTTGCAGGTTGTTGGCGGCATGCGCGTGATGGCCTCTTGGGCGGGAGACCGGGATGAGGGGGCCTCGAGCGAGGAGGCACGAGAGATGTTTTGAGGAGGCAGGCTCGAGGAGCGCACGGAGCAAGGGAGGCTCGCGGAAAGCTCCTCCCCGGCGCGTTGCTCCGTGGGATGTGAGCATCCAGCGAGATCGGTACAGTGTCGTGCAGAAGCACGAAGTCGGAACGAATTGGCAGTCTGGCCCGCGTCCTCGCTCTCACGGTGGAGGGATGTGTCTTGCCACGTGATGAGTGTGTGTGTGTGTGTGTGTCGTTCGACCTTGTCTATTCTTGAGTATGTGATTGACCAGGTTGGCTCCGTCCGGAGACTCCTGCCAAGGCACATCGTGCGTGTCCGATCCAAAATGTACGTTGTGCTCCCGTGTGCATCCGAAGTCCGATGTCATCCGCATCCCTTGTTGATGACGAGGTGTTGTCGCACGTCGTTGCGTTTCTCAGTGTGCGCCCTCCTCCACGTGTATATGGTGATGCCCACGCCCTCCTGCACTTCCCCCCTCCCACCCCTCATCCTCCCCACCCCCCTCCCTGTCACACTCCGAACCCCCCAGGGACAGTTCGATCCGACGATCCGATGCCTGCATGGCGTTGTTGCGCATCCCCGTGCAGCCCGTCCGATTCGATTTCGGTTCTGGGCCGATGCAGCCCAGTTCGACGCAAATTCCCATTCGATCAGTGTTCCCGATTCGATTTTGATTGATACCCGCCGCCCCCCGAAAATTCCATATCAAGCGTTTTGGGTGAGTGGGCCATCTTGGATGAGGGTCGCACGCACAACCGATCCAAACGGTTCAGCAGTAGATCTTGAGAGCGAGCAGGTATACCTTGGTTGTTCTAAAAAGCGTTGGGGATCGTTTTGTCCCGGTTTCTTGTTGTGCGGTCTCGATTCGGCCAAAATGGTTTAAACATTACGCTTTGGAGTGTGGGAATGCAGACGCCAGGCAGGAGGCACTGCGAGACCGAAGAACGCATGAAGTGAGCATGGAAGACGGAAAGGAAAAAAGCAGACGGGCCACAGGCTGATCGGTGACCGGAAAACGTAGCGAAGGCGGCGCCCAAAACGGCAAGAAAACGCCGATTTGGAAAACTAAGAAACGTTCCCAAGTCACCTCCTCCTCCTCCTCCTCTTCCCCCTCCTTCTCCTCCTCCTCCTCCTCCTGGAGGAGGAGGAGGAGGAGGAGGAGGAGGAGGAGGAGATCACCTGATACCTCAAGTCACCCACTGTCAATCGACCCCTCCTACACCGCGGGGAGAACTGCGCGACGCCAGCACGCGCGGAGGACCCCAGCCCCCGGCCACGACGGCCGATGCCCCCCGGCCCGAGCTTGTCGAGGGCCGCTCTAGGCACACGCAGGTGCATGCCCGACGAAAGCAGGGGGGGGGCCTTCGGCACGAATTTCGAACGGCTGGAGGGCGAGCGCGAGGTGTGGGTATGGCATTTTTTCGATACGACCCGCACATGTGCTCGAGAAAGCACCTGCATGGCTGAGCCCCTGGGAGGACCCCGGCGCGAGCATTGATCGGAATAAAACCTCGCGAGGATGCCTCCCGAAGCGAAGTCCCGAGCACACGCCTGCACAGAGGCGCGCATGGGCTTAAATGCGCTGACCAGAACTTGCGGACAGTTTTAGAAAAGAAGTGATTCCGTTTACAACCCTCGAACAGGCACGCAAGATGTTGCGACGACGGTCACGCATCACGCGGAGGTGGGGCAATTGTGTTCACACAATGGAAGCCGCATGCGACGATACCCGTGCCACGCGGGATGAGACGGGAGAAATGGAGCGAAGTTGGTTGCCGCAAGCGCGTGGCTCACACGCACGACACCGCCAACGACCTGCTGTCCTCGCCCGTCCGTCCTCCCGCGTTTGGGCAAGCCTGATTGCCCGCAGAAGTCGGAGGATCAAGAGGTCATGAGAAGGAGATGTGCCACCATCTGTTCATGTGATCCTGCTGTTTCGCGCGAACTCCAGAGACGGGGGCCTCCAGGTACTCCAGAACTCCTGTGACGTGTCCTGGAGTTCCCGTCCCCAGAGGTGGCCCCCGCAGGGGTCGGCCCCAGCGGAAAGAAACGTTGGCGGAGCAAGCCCAGGCCGAAGTGATTGTCGCCATGATGAAGGGAGGGGAGAGGAGGAGGAGGAGGAGGAGGAGGAGGAGGAGGAGGAGGAGGAGGAGGAGGAGGAGGAGGAGGAGGAGGCGGAGAAGAAAAAGCAGGAGGGGGCCCCGAGGGAAACGGCCCTGTGAGGACGTTCGCCGGCCTCGGCCCTCACGAGCCCATCCCCGGGGCCAGGGGCCGTCCAAGAGGGATTTGCGGTAGGACGCCGGTCTCGGACGGCAGCCCCCCGGGGTGCAGTTCAAGAGAAGAAGAAGCAGACGGAGGAGGAAGAGGAGGAGGAAAGAAGGACAAAGAGGAGGCGGAGGAGGAGAAGGAGGAGGCGAACGAGGAGGAGGAGGAGAAGAACGAGGAGGGGTAGGAGGAGAAGAAGGAGGAGGAGCAGGGAGAAAGAGGGGAAGGAGGAGGAGAAGGAGCAGGCATTGAGTGCAGAAAATATGCTCAGAGTGGCAGAGCGAGCCCCTGCGAAATTCTAGGCCTCCCAAATGCTCGGCCTCGCTCGGACGTGTGCGTGCGTTCTCGGCAAGGGCCATCGAGGAGCATCCCGGATCATCGTGCGAAAAACAAGCGCGCGAAATTATAGAAATGCATCAGGAATGGACGTCCGAGCGATGTCAGATGGGGTCGAAGGATCGCGCCGCATCGACGATGCATCGGATCGGCGATGCTGCTCGATGTGGAGCCCGATTTTCTCTACGCAGACAGCGCCGATGCATCACCGACGTCGATGATTCATCGCCGATGCATCGGCGATGCGGCGCGATCCTCCGACTCTATCTACTCGGACCCCATCTAGGATGCCTCTAGACATGGGCATCGGTGGCATCAGCCTCTGGGCGTGGCGGACTGACGCACCAACGAAACGACAGGGCGAGCCCAGAATCTGGCGGTCGCCCAGGAGCTTCAAGCGGCAACGAGCGCCAGCGCGTCCCAAAGACCTGCCGCACCGTATTCACTTCGTCGCTCTGGCCCGCGCGGGCCAAGGCGTCTCGTCATCTGATCCCCTAAATTTGTGTACAAAGAATATGTTGGAGGTCCGCGCGGATTACTTGGATCGGCGCTGGACCACACTGCAGGCGTAGGTGAATCATTGGCCATTCCTGAAGGGCAAGGCACTGGTACTCATAGACACAGCTGTAAATGTGCGGCGCGTGCAGTCGAATGTGGAAAGAAGGGAGCATCGGACGAGGCTAGGACGAGGATAAATCCGTTCCGCAGCGTTCCGGAAGAACGCTCTCAGGGCGTTCCGGAACGTTCTCAGAAGGTTGCGGCGCCCAGGACATCTTCCAAAGTTGCCGGATCTCGGAGATTCTCGATTCATCCTCACACCCGATGTTATTCCTCGCCCTGGCTTCGTCTTAGAGCAGGAAGGCTTGCAAGTGCAAGGGTTTCGATATAAAGGATTTGGCAAGCCAAGGTCTCGTCCGACCGTATCCTCGCTTGTCTCTAGGGTCAATTATGTCTGTTCGCGGCCACGTTGGATCTGAAGTGTTGGAAGGCCAAGGACGTCAGCAGCACATACTTTCTGTATGCGGCATGCTGTACACCGCCTGCGTGTTGTGTCTGAAGATCTCACCTGGCTGTTCTTTGGGAATTACACGCTCCCGTGCTTCTTCTGTTTGACGATATCCAAAAATGAAACGCTTTCGGGAGACAGGGTCCAAGCATTGAAAGTCGTCTTAACCGGTACCTGCCGACTGCACCTAGAGAGGCGGATGCGCGTTACACTACGGGGAAGTGGAGGCATTCAGTGTCCCTGTGTATGTTCTCCAGTCGGCGGGGGGACGTGGTCCCAATGCAGGCAAGGGCCGTAGCCGGCCTACCAGGTGGGGAAGGGAAGATGTACTGCAAGCACTGTCCATCACAAGTTCGATTTTGATTGTCATTCATAGCATCCTGTATGGTCGATCGTTGATTGCGCTATATGTGCATATGCATCAGATTGATGTGCAGTGCCACTCCTCGATGTACACGGGTCAGTGCGGAAGAATTCGGAAGAGGTGAATCAATATGTGTGTGTGCATGCTACATACTTCAAGCAAGCGGATAGTTCGTCGCGAGGGGTTAAGGGCATCATTGTTCAAAGATGTTGGTTATATTTGTGCTTGTCATTTCGCCAGGAGGGGGTAGCGAAGGCGAGAATTGTAGTTACCTGCTGGTTACTCGCCAAGGTGCCCCCGCGCCCCAAGTAGCTCGAGCTGCCGCACACCGAATCCAGAACGCCAATGTTCGTCCTGGAATGGCCAGGGCAGCCAAGGTAGTGCTGGGTGCGATTGTGCACGACGGAGATTAAAACTGATACCGCTTACTCAGTGAATTCAAGAGCACGTGTATGAGTTTGTGGTTACCATGGTATCAGGATTCAGGTGTTACTTATGAGTCGAGTATTGTTGCAGCCCTCGTGTGTTTTGCATTGCACGAGAGGTCCGTAAACACGGATCGGCCACGGAGCATTTTGGGGACGTTGGAGAGAGGATACGGAGTTCTTGAACGTTAGGAAGATACTCGGCGAGTTCCCAGGGGAACCCCGCCCACCTTTCAAACAGGATTTTGTTCGGTGGGAAATCATGGGAGCCGTGCATGTTTTCGCAATCCCGCTTTAGAGTGTTTTAGCGTGCATTGGCGTCTGGTAATCGATGAGAAAGCGTCCATGTACATCGTTTAGCGTTGACTGGCATCGATTTAGCGTCTGCTAGCATAGACTCGCGTCGATTCAGAAGAGCGAACAAGGTTGTATGGGAAACGTCGATACGCAAGACCCAGCAAGATGGCATGGGAGGCTCCCATGAGTTTCCTCAGGAATATTGGATCCCAGCCTTCTCACCCCCAAGGTCACGGCAGTGCAGGGCCAGCGAGGAGGGATTTAGGGACACTATACGACTGCCAACGCCGTCGCTGTTCAGTAGGGGGGCTTCACTGCTGGAAGTATAGATCCTCTCACAGCGGAGAGCGTTTAATTGATTCTGCGGCGGCGTTTCCAAGTATCCCAGTCGCTGGGAGTCTGGCCGTCCCGCATGCGGTGGGCATGCCGCCCGCCATCACAAGCTCCTCCTGTTCCAGCACCATCGCGATACAGTGGAAACCCATGCCAAGAAACACCCTGTTTGCCTCCAGGGTGCCATGGGTTTCTTGGGTTTCGATGGTTTTGCTATGGAAGGCGTGGCGTTCCCACACCAAATATCATTGGACGTTCTGGGTTCTCAGGGTTTTCTTGTGGTCGAGCTCCTATTGTAATCATGCTGCCATCCTCTTCTACGGATTGCTGCCGCAGCCGTTCCCGAGTGGCCAGCCGGGGCCCAGGGGGGGGGGCATCGGGTCGGAGGCGTAAGCTCCCCCCCCGCCGTGTTGGTGTTCGTGTGCCTGATCGACGTACGCAAGCGTTCCAAATACCTGTTACGATTCTAAACCAAAAACAACATGTGACGAGACTGTTTTGGTTCAAGGCGCTTGCGCCACTTCCCCGACCCCCCAGGGGAGACACGAAGTCCACAGGCGAGGCGGTTGCCTTTTCGGAATCGTTTGAGGGGGCCCATCAGACATCTTTTGGGTCTCGTGGGCGCTTCTTCAAGGTTGTTTCTCCTCGCTTCCCCCTGCGGACGAACGTAGCCAGGAGTATGCCGAACCAGCATTTGTTGTCCTCGCTGCTGTGTCGAGCGAATCCATATCTAAGACACATACTATCCGGTGTGGGGTTTGATGTGATTTGGTTTGTTGAGCGCTACATCGTATGGATTTGTTCCGGGATTTCGATACTTGTGGTAAATGCCTCGCAGGTGCCATTCCCTTGTACTTGTCTAAAAGATTCCGACGATGGTATCTTGAAAGTCCCTTCTCGGTGCGAGTACGCATGCTGACGTGTACAACTGACCCCTTGACATTAAAAATCTGTCTCGCTACAAAGTTGCACTCATCAAGATTTGGTAGACGTGCATACAGAGCTTCTTAAGCGGGAGTAGTGGGAACAAGCGCGACCGGGTTGAATCCGCACGGCAATTTTCCCAGGAAATTGATTCAACCCCCGCATGGCTGGCCACTGGAAATTGCTTGCAGGCCTTTGGAAAGCGATCGCAGATGAAACACGGCATTATTGGGAGACCGTTCAGAGGCGAGCACGGCCGTGGGAAACCAATCGGAAATGATGCCGGAAACCGATTAGGGAGCCACGCGGCCATGGGAAAGCAATTGGAAGTGAATACGGAGACAATTAAGCCACCAACGGGGCTACGAAAAAACAATCGGGAATGAAATTTGAGACCGCGGCCACGGGAAAGCAGTTAGAAATGAAACCAGGGGCCGTTGAGAGATTAATGAAGCAACAGAGAAACAACCGGTAATGAAACTCGAAGCCATTGAGAGCGTGGCCACGAAAAATTCAACAACGTTGAAGCAAAACAGCCACGGGAAATCAATCAGATATGAAATTGGGAACCGGGAGAGCATGGCGGCTGTAAAAAAGACCCGAAACGAAAAACGGCAACGGATTTCGCAACTGAGCAACGGGATTCGTAATTCCACAACGGGATTCGCAGCTCAACAACGGGATTCGCAACAAGCGACAACGGATCTCGCAACAGGCGACGGAATTGACCAGACAGATCCCGTAATTGACCACACAAGTGACGGGAATTCGAGGAGGAGGCAGAGGGAGGGGGACAAGGAGGTGACAGAGGGAGGACATGTTCGATCCAAAAATTTACGGTTTTGAAGTGCTCTTTCGTTTCGTTGTTTTCGTTGTTTGTCCTTTTGAGGCGTACGCCGCTTGGCAAGCAAGAACAAGGAGAAAGAAAACGGCTTGCGAGGTTGCGCATTTCAGTGGGACGGAACGAGGCACCAACAATCCCATTGTTTGCCCGCAGTGCCGTGACGAAGTATTGACGATATCGACGAGGATGACGGAAACGATTGGGCAAGAAAGAATTGGGAATTGTACGTTTACGATATATTAATATTGTTTCCCATTACTACCGGCAACAGCTGAAGAGGGCACCGCTGCGACGAAATAGCGCTTCCATTGGTGGAGTCCTTCGGCGGGCAATTCGCTCGGTAATTGGCCAATTGTTGTTGGAAGTCTCCGCTATGCTGCTAGGGGAACAGAATTAACAAAGTTTGCCCAACCCAAATGTGATGTCCATGTTTGTTGGTTCCAAATCCACCGGCAAAGTCACAGGAAGTTTTAGCTTTATACTTCTGTCTCGGTGCACATCCGGTTGAGTTGGAGGAGCCGCTACATGGACGCTTCGCTGAAAATGTCCCTTTCCACGGCAAAGCTTGGCGTGCACCGATTTTTCGTTGATGATCGGCACCGATTACAGTAATGGTTCGGACAATGACAAACGAATACGAGCATATTAGCATACGGCAGCAAGGCCTTGGCTCTTGCAAGGACAACATTGCCAAGGGGCAAGGGGCTTGAGGGGCAAGCACGCTTGGAAGGGTGAATTCGGAAAGAGGGTGCATGATGCAAAAAGCTTATTGAGATTGGCCTGAACCCCAAAAGTGCTGCGGTCAGGGAGCCGACGACGTATGTTCCCTCTCCTCTTCTTGGCCGTCTTTGTCGTCCTCGTCGTCTGTGTCATGTTCTCCACCCCTTTGTTTCTTTTTCCTCCTCCTCATACTCATCCTCATTCTCATGTTCCTCCTCCTCGTCCTCCTCCTTATCCTCATCCTGATGATCCTCCTCCTCCTCGTCCTCCTCTCCTCCTCCTCCTCCTCCGCCTCCTCCTCCTCCTCCTCCTCCTCCTCCTCCTCTTCTCCTCCTCCTGTCCTCCTCCTCCTCCTCCTCCTCCTCCTCCTCCTCCTCCTCCTCCCCTTCCTCCCCCTCCTCCCGCTCCGTCCTCCCTCCACCATCCTCCGCCCTTTCCCCCCCCTCCCCTCCTTCCCTCTCTGTTTCTCCATCCTCGTCCTCGTCCCCCCTTTCTTTATTTTGGCTACAACACTGCGTTGGGCCCAATTCCTGCCTCGCCGGACATCACGACGACCATGACGACCATGTCTTCGACGACGATTCCATCGACGACCTCGGCGATGACATCAACACTTTGCGCATATCTCGCAGGTGTCGTCGAACGCACGGCCTGGACCGAGTGAAAGATTGCAAACAAAGCTGCAAAAGGAAGGAATGCCGTGTTCGTCGTGCAATCCGCCGCCATAGAGTTCAAAAGATGTTCATTATCATCAGGCAGGTAGTCGTCGTCATATAAGTTGCCGCTGCTCTGATGGTTGTACGGACTGCTTACCACACGCGGAAAACGTTCGCGCGCGTGTTTCTTTATTCCGGAGGGCATAACGAGCGTTATAGTTCCCAGCCCACCCCCTTAAGCGCGCTCCAGGCATTGCCGCGGGTGCGCATTGGGATCCGCATAGGCGTCCGCATAGGAATCTTGCGTAGGAGTCTAGTCCACCGTCGTCGTCGTCGTCGTCGTGGTCGTGGCCGTGGCCGTGGCCGTGGCCGTGGTCGTTCGTCGCTCATAGCTCGTCGCTCATTTGTGTCGTGCGCGCGGACACGGTTGGAACTTGTTTGTTGTTCCGAGCGCAGAACGGCCGTCATCGGGGGGAGGGTGGTGGAGGGGGCCGATGGCGTCACGTTTCGCGCCGGCGTCTGAGAATGTTTAGGAATGACTGAAGACGGGTAGCAGCATGTAGGTGGTGATCCGTCTTACAGCGTTTGTGTACGTTACAATGCTTGCGTGCACCACAGCGCTTATGTACACCACACCGCCTATGTTCACCATAGCAGCCGCGTGCAACACGGCGCCAGTATGTCTGCGGGCACCACAGCGCTTGGGTTCATTACCGCACTCGCGCACACCACATCAACCGTGTGCAAGACAGCACTCCACAACGCTTGCGTGCATTACAGCGCTTGTGTGCACCAAGGCGCTTGTGTGTACCACAGCAACCGTGGGCAACAAACAGAGCACCAGTGTTGCATATTGAATGTGATAAGAAATTTTTATGACAAAATGGGGCGCTTGTGGGTTCCACAGAAAACAATTCTTGGATTGCTTGAATCGACCATTCTGCGGTCTGCGGTGCACGCTAAAATTCGCACGTGCATTGTAGCGCCGATTTGCACGACAAAGGGGAAGGGTGAGGGAGGATGAGGAGGAGGAGAAAGAGAAGGAGAAAGAGGAGGAGGAGGAGAATGACGATGAAGAGGAAGAGGAAAAAAAAGAGGAGGAGGAGGATGGAGGGAAGAACGTCGCATTCTATTATCATCATTTTTTTGGCATGGTGTTCAGCTGTCCACAGCTGATCCTCACCTACATATTTTTCCTACATGACCTTTGCAAGCAGGCACTGGTGTCCACCAGCGG